ATAACCGAAGCACTAATACCTCTAACGTGGTGTGACTCTAATCTAAAGCTCTAACGGATACTTGAAATAACGTCGTCTAGTATGTCGCTTAGAAGTATTTGTACGTCGCTCGTAAATATGGGTATGTCGCTTAGAAACGTTTGTTTGCCGCTTAAAAGAATTTGTATGCCGCTTAGAAATGTCCGTATGTCGCTTACGACACTCTGTATGTGGTCTACTATGCTCCGTACGTCGTTTATCGTACTCTGTATGCTGCCTGTGGTAAGCGTCGGTATGTCGCTTGGAGGTATTTTTTGTATGCCACTTAGAAATATTTGTATGCCGCTTAGAAATATTTGTATGCCATCTACGAACGTTTGTACGTGGTCTACGAATGTCGGTATGCGGTCTATAAGCGTTCGTATGCGGGCTACGACGCTCTGTATGCGGTGTATAGTACTCTGTAAACGTCAGTACGCGGTCTATAGCGGTCTGTCGCTTAGAAGTATTTTTTGTATGCCGCTTAGAAATATTTGCGTGTCGCTTAGAAACATTTGTATGTGGACTACAAACGTCGGTATGTGGTCTACGAACGTTCGTATGTGGGCTACCACACTCTGTATGCGGTCTATAGTGGTCTGTAGCACTCCGTATGCGGTCTATAGCATTCTGTACGCGGTCCGTAGCATTCTGTATGCGGTCTATAGCGGTCTACGATACTCTGTATGCGGTCTACAGTACTCTGTATGCGGTCTACTAAATATCACGGTCGATTTTTTATAAACGCGTGACATAATAGATCTACACGAAAAGATAACGTTCCTCACCGAACCACTAACCGAAACACTAAACCTGATTCTAATCCTCACCTAATTCTGACTGTAACCGAAACTATAACCGAAGCACTAATACCTCTAACGTGGTGTGACTCTAATCTAAAGCTCTAACGGATACTTGAAATAACGTCGTCTAGTATGTCGCTTAGAAGTATTTGTACGTCGCTCGTAAATATGGGTATGTCGCTTAGAAACGTTTGTTTGCCGCTTAAAAGAATTTGTATGCCGCTTAGAAATGTCCGTATGTCGCTTACGACACTCTGTATGTGGTCTACTATGCTCCGTACGTCGTTTATCGTACTCTGTATGCTGCCTGTGGTAAGCGTCGGTATGTCGCTTGGAGGTATTTTTTGTATGCCACTTAGAAATATTTGTATGCCGCTTAGAAATATTTGTATGCCATCTACGAACGTTTGTACGTGGTCTACGAATGTCGGTATGCGGTCTATAAGCGTTCGTATGCGGGCTACGACGCTCTGTATGCGGTGTATAGTACTCTGTAAACGTCAGTACGCGGTCTATAGCGGTCTGTCGCTTAGAAGTATTTTTTGTATGCCGCTTAGAAATATTTGCGTGTCGCTTAGAAACATTTGTATGTGGACTACAAACGTCGGTATGTGGTCTACGAACGTTCGTATGTGGGCTACAACACTCTGTATGCGGTCTATAGACATATTCGTATGCCATCTACAATTGTTGGTATGTCGCCTACGACACTTCGTACGTGGGCTATGACACAGCCACGCAGGGCTTCTCACTGCAGGTGGCCGTCCAGGACGGCCGTGTAAGTTTGTTAGTACCCTCAGTGGCGGTCTGAGATGAGCGTTTATTAGGTATGTCATGTATGGCCTTCCAGTACTACCACTTATTGTTCATCCCTGTGAAGGTCATTGGAGCAGATGGCCGTGCAAGATGACCACCTATAGTCAGTACCACAGGTGGCCGTCCGGGACGGCCATTTCTTGTGCAAGCCATTTATGGCCTTCCTGGACTGCCACTTGTGGTTTGTCCCTCAGGCAGCTATTGCAGCAGTGACCGTCCAGGACAGCCACTCCTGGTCAGTATCACAGGTGGCCGTCCGGGAAGGCCATTTCTTGTACAAGCTGTACATGGCCTGCCTGGACTGCCACTTGTGGTTTGTCACTCTCATGGCCACTACAGCAGATGGCCGTCCGCGACGGCCACTCATGGTCTGTACCACAGGTGGCCGTCGAGGAAGGCCATTTTTTGTGCAAGCTATGCATGACCTTCCTGGACTGCCACTTGTGGTCTGTCTCTCTGGTGGCCACTGCAGCAGGTGGCCGTCCGAGAAGGCCATTTCTTGTGCAAGCTGTTCATAGCCTTCCTGGACTGCCACTTGTGGTTTGTCACTCTCATGGCCAGTACAGCAGATGGCTGTCCAGGATGGCCACTCATGGTCAGTACCACAGGTGGCCTTCCGGGAAGGCCATTTTTTGTGCAAGCTATACATGGCCTTCCTGGACTGCCACTTGTGCTTTATCCCTCTGGTGGCCACTGCAGCAGGTGGCCGTCCGGGAAGGCCATTTCTTGTACAAGCTGTACATGGCCTTCCCGGACTGCCACTTGTAGTTTGTCACTCTCATGGCCAGTATAGCAGATGGCCATCCAGGATGGCCACTCATGGTCAGTACCACAGGTGGCCGTCCAGGAAGGCCATTTTTTGTGCAAGCCATGCATGGCCTTCCTGGACTGCCACTTGGTTTATCCCTCTGGTGGCCACGACAGTAGGTGGCCGTCCAGGATGGCCACTCATGGTCAGTGCCACAGGTGGCCATCTGGGAAGGCCATTTCTTGTGCAAGCTGTACATGGCCTTCCTGGACTGCCACTTGTGGTCTGTCCCCCTGGTGGCCACTACAGCAGATGGCCGTCCAGGACGGCCACTCACAGCCGCTGTGCTTTGCTGACTGTGCCACCTGGCCTATGCAGCCATCTGAGCCTCTTTTGGCCGCGAGCTATGGTTGAGGAGTATGAGGCTTTTGAAGTGGCATTGGTTATGGATATGTCGCTGTAATAATACATATCATGATTGCGTAGTACATTACTACAGGTCTAGTTTATCATATGCTTACTACAGTGGCAGCCCAGCATTCCTAACTGGGACCTATGTCGGTAATACACCACCACCACCATGTATGGCTGTCCACGATGGCCACGCAGGACAGCGGCCCCTCACCAGCGCTAGTGATGGTGCACGTGCCTGCAGCACCTTTTGTAGTGTTGGGCAACAGCCTCCTTCCCAAAGCAGACACGTACCTAGCCTTGGCTCAGGTTCCACTCAGTACTGGCAGTTCATGCACCTCGAACGGCCGTCCAGGACGGCCACTCGTGGCCAGCGTGGTTTACCTCCTGTGCCACCTGGCCTATGCAGCCAGTGGAGCCTCTCCGTGCATGGCCGTCCACGACGGCCACGCAGGACAGTGGCCCCTCACCAGCGCTAGTGATGGTGCACGTGCCTGCAGCACCTTTTGTAGTGTTGGGCAACAGCCTCCTTCCCAAAGCAGACACGTACCTAGCCTTGGCTCAAGTTCAACTTAGACCTGGCACCCCATGCAACTCGAACGGTCGTCTACGACGGCCACTCATGACCAGCATGCTTTGCCCCCCCCGCGCCACCTCGCCTGTGCAGCCACCTGTGCCTTTCCACGCATGGTCGTCCGCGACGGCCGCGCAGGTCAGAGGCCCCTCACCAGTGCTACTGATGGCGCACGTGCCCTACGGCACGGTCCGTAGGGTTCGGCAATGGCCTCCTTCCCAAAGGGGACGCGTACCCCTAGCGTCCGCTCGGGGAACCCCCACCCTAGGGTTGGGGTTGCCCGCCCTCAGCGACCCTACGATCGTCCTAGGAGGCCTCATAGAAATATTTGTATGTCGGTTACGTCACTCTGTATGTGGTCTACTATGCTCCGTACGTCATTTAATGGTACTCTGTATGCTGCCTATAATGTCGCTTATGACGGTTTTTTGTATGCCGCTTATAAATATTCGTACGTCACTGGGAAATATCGGTTCGTCCCTTGAAAACATTTGTATGTCGGTTACGACACTCTGTATGTGGTCTACTATGCTCCGTATGCCATTCACGGTACTCTGTATGCTGCCCGTAATAAGCGTTCGTATGTCGCTTAGAAGTGTTTTTTGTATGCCGCTTAGAAGTATTTGTATGCCATCTACCATCATTTGTACGTCGCCTACAACTCTCGATATGTGGTCTACGACGCTTCGTATGTAGTTGACAGTATTCCATCATTTATTATACTCACTCAGATGACAGTGTGCAATTCAGATAACGGTCGACTAACAGTCAGATACAGCTCAGTGAGTGTAATGTCCAGACAGATAACACGCAGTCAGCATAACATTCAGCCTAATGTTCGGATAACACTGAGTCAGTGTAACGTTCACATAACACTCATTGATTCAGCCTAACGTTCAGATAACGCTCATTCAGCCTAACGTTCAGGTAACATTCAGGTAACGCTGAGATAGCTAATACTGAGATGACGGCACTTGGTATGTGAGGTTGAAGTAAAAAGGTGCTGAGGCAGACAGTTGGGTGGCCTAACGGTAGGATGAAGCAAAATATATATCTATATATGTATTGGCTACTGCGCGCTATGGATAGTACTACATGATACGAACCGCGAGTGAGACAGTGGAAATGGCGCGTGCTCGCCGTGTTGTCATGTTCTGTGTATATACTTGCATCGTGCTAACGAGAACGGCGGTGCGTTGTGCAGAACACAGCGGCGTTCGAGGGGACTGGGACGGTGGACTTGTGTGCATGCACACTGTTGCTGCGCATTCTGTGCATGTAGCTGTGTCACGCGGATGAAGACGGTGGAGCATTGATGGGGGGATCGCGGCGTTCGAGCGGAGTCGGACGACGGCACTCGAGGGGAACGGGACAGCACGGTTCGAGGGGACTCGGATGGCGGGGGTGCGTGCCCGTTGACACACTATCCCGGGCCATTGTTGCTGCGCGTTCCGTGTGTGGTTGGCCTGTGCGGACGAGTACGGCGGGCTTTGAGTGGAATGGAATGTAGGTATGTGGCTGTCGAGCTACGCGCGGGCGGGTCGTCATTTCGCATTCCCTGCGTCGGCATCGGGACTTCTAGAGGTCGTTAGCACTGTTAAAAAACCGAAAACAAATATTTTTTACTCACCTATATCGCCCGAACACTGCTGGGCGAACGCGCGCTCAAACACGTTGCGTTTGAGTGTGCCAGAGACATCGAGTCTACCGGCCGGCACTCGATGTTCGACGGGAGGTCCGGGGCGTGGTCGCTCGGTGCAGATGGCGAACTAGAGTCGAGGAGGATTGGCTGAGGGTGCTGGAAGGTGACACGGGCCAGCGTCAGGCATTGGAGACCGCGAGGAGGGAGGTCAGCGCAGTCCTTGTACTGCGGTGGCCGGCGTGACGACCGGGGCCGGTCGTTCACCACAGCGGACGAACACGAGTTGAGGAGGGTTCGGTGATGGTGCTGGAAGGTGACGCGGGCCAGCGTCGGGACCTGCAGACCACGAAGAGGGACCTGGGCGCGATCTTTCATCGCAGACGGTGAACGCGGGTCGAGGAAGGTTGGGTGACGGTGCTGGGAGGTGACGCGGGCTTTCGCCGGTGGCTGGAGACCACCAGGAGGGAGCTGGGCGCCGTTGTGGCACCGCGGTAGCTGGCGCGATGACCGCTGTGCCATCGTTCACTGTGGTGGGCCTGCGCGCGTCGAAGAGGGTTGAGGGAGGGTGCGGGGAGGTGGTGAGAGGCTGCGCGGAGCCTCGCGGGACCTTGGGGACCGGGTGGTCGGGGCTGCATGCCGTCGTCGCACCGTGATGGCCGGTGCGACAACGCAGGCGGCGTCGTTTGCCACCGTGGGCCTGCGTGGGCGGGGCAGGAATCATGGTATGGGCCCCGCACGCCCATTGCTCGACGCCGGCAACGGAGTGGCTTTCGCTGAGGGCGACCCGCTAGCAGACGCAGGCACGGAAGTGCCGTGCGGCACGATGTCACGCTTCGCACCCCGTGGCGGCGACGCTGAGCGCGAGTGCATGCGCTCGTCCCCATCCGCGTCCCTGTCACGCTGGGGGCTGACCACCGCCGGCGCCGGCGGGTGTGCAAGCGGTGGTAGGGTCATCGGTGGGGCGTGCGAGAGACCCGCGCCGATCGGACGCGGGTGCGGTGGGAGCATCATAGGGAGTGACGGTGGAAGGGACGGTGAGGGCGGGTACGAGGGGCGGTCGAGCGTCTGTCGCGTCTCCGGCGAGTGCGACGACGGCTGTTGATGGAACGGGATCGGCGAGGTGCGCATCGAGGGCGTCGGCGTCGGGCGTCCGCCAGAGTTGCCGTTCGAGTTGGACGAGATGGAGTGCGAAGTCGGCCGCCCGCTAATGCTGCCCACACGTGAACGTTTGTCTGCGTGCTCGTCGGTCAGCGCAGGACTGAGGGGACGCTTGGTGCCGACTGGGGGAGAGCGTGAGGAGATCGACGTTCTTGGCGACGCGCCAGGTGCACGACCGGGGCCGAACGCGCGTGGATACTGAGACAGGCCCATCAGCGCATCCGCTACACCCTCGTCGTAATCCTCGTCCACAACACGTACCGGAGGGAGGTGCGCAGAGCCTGTGGGTGACGGCTGCACGGATCTGCCCGATCCAGCGCTCGCGGGCTCGGGGCTGCCGACGGTCTTGCGGTACTTGAACGACAGCGGGCCCGCGGGGTTGTCCCCGCGCTGCGGCTCCTCCTTGACGCGTATCGCATTCACGCGACGTTTGCGCTCCTTTGGCGGGGGGTCAGCTGCAGGCGCGGAGGTGGAGCCTGCGGATGATTCGGCGTCCCTCTCCTTCCCGGTGCGCCGTCTACGCTCCTTGGGTTCGGCGGGGCCGACGCTGACGGTCTGCAGGGGAATCTGTGGGCTCTCGTACGCGCAGTGCCCTGGCGGCGGAAGACCGCGTGCGCGCACATCGGGCGAGGGCACGTACCGCGGGTCCCGCGGGTCGAGCACAACCATCGACTCCCTTTCTCTCTCGCGCTCACGCTCCCTGCCCCTCTCACGCTCGTACTGGTTCGGTGTCTCACGCGCGTCGAACCGCGAATCGTACCTCCGCATGGGCTCGTGCATATCCATCGGCGGGTGGAGTGGCAAGCGAGGCACGCCCGGGCCCGACGTCGGCGGCTTCTCCCAGAACGGTCTGTACGTGGGATGCACGGCACGCGGGGACACGTCCGGACTTCGCTCACGCGGGCTTCGGGGGCTGGGACCACGGGGCGAATGCAGGCGGGACGCGTAGTACGCTGGTGAGGTGTGCACGGGGTACTCGCTCGGGGGGTGTCCACGGCGCTCGCGCTCCCACTCCGCGTGGTCAATAGGGATGGGGACAATGCGACGGTCCCAGCCTGACTCGCGCTCGTCGCGGGAATACGGTAGAGGGGGGGTGCGACGCGAGACGGGACCGGGCGTCTGACCAGGACCGACGACACGCTTGAAGGGTGGGAGGTGCTGTGGAGAGCGTGCGCGAAGGTGTGCATGTGGCGGAGGGGAGGCGGAAGGTGAAGGCATCCGCAGCGGGCGCGCGTGCTCATGGCGGGACTGGCGCATCCCGTCAACGGGAGACTGCGAAGGCACGGGGTGATGCAAAAGGAGGCTCTGCCCTGCTGGACCGCGCGGGCCGCTGTCGCGCGAGGACGGGGGGTACGAGGCGGAGTGCTTGCGAGAGGGGTGCGAGATACGATCAACGTCCATGGGCGCAAGCGGCGTGTGAGATGGTACGCGATTGTCATCGAGTACTACGGGCGTGGGCGGGCCGCCGCCGCGGAAGGGGCCTGGTGAGGAACGGCTCGAATTCAGCTGGGGCGGCATGGGCAGGGGGAGGTCGCTCGGTGGACCGCGCGAGTCAGTATGGAAAATGGGACGTGAGCCTCCAGGTTGTAGCAGCATTGGGAAGGCGCCAGGCAGCATCAACGGATTGGCGTATGGACGTGAAGGGCGAGATGAAGTTCGTGGAAGGGATGGATTGCGATGCATGAACGGCGTTAGACAGCGGGCGGACGGAGAGGTTGGTGTGGTTGGTGTGGGAGAATATTGAGGGATGGGACAGGGTGGAGAGGGGCAGCTGAGTGAGGCCGATGGGTGGCGTAGTCGGGATTGCATTGGATTCGAGGGCGGTGACGTCGCGCCAGTGTGTGGCCACGCACTGGAGTTTGTCGGGGGTGTCGTCGCTGGGGACGATGTCCTTGTCGATGGGTACATAGCTGAGTGTCCAGGGCTCGTCGATGTCGACGTGCTCGTCCTCGGTGTGGTGCGTGTTGACCGAACCACGCCTCTGCTGCGCTTGCCACCGTCTGCAGTGGTGGCGACACTTGGCCTGCGCTTGCACTCGATGCCATAACTCGCTCGCCGCTTGGGCTTATCAGCCATAACCGTGGTACCGCCATTCGCTGCGGAGGGCCTGCGCGCATCGAGGACAGTCAGGGGAGGGTGCGGGAAGGTGTGGTGGGGCTTCGCGGGGCCTCGCGAGGCCTTGGCAACCGCGAGGAGGGGGCTGCGTGCCGCTGTTGCACTGTGGTGGCCGGCGCGATGACAACTACGCTGTAAAATATTAGCACGGCTGAAAACAAACAAGAAGATTTTATTTGGCTCACCTGGGCCCTCTCGAACCCTCCTGAATGGATGCGGGGTCAAGCATTTCCGTTCGATGGCACAGGGGACCGCGAGCCTCAGGCTGAGGTGGAGGTCGAGGTGTCGCCACGGAAACACGATGGTGACGTCGTCGTTGAACCGTGGTGGCCGACACGACCACTGCGCCGCCGTCGTTCGCTGCCGTGGGCCTGCGCGGGTCGAAAGGAACCGAGGGAGGTGCGGGGAGGTGGAGAGGCCGCCCGGGCCTTGGCAAACTTGTGGCGGGGCCGTCGTCGCACCGCGTGGCCGTCGTTCGCCGCCGTGGGCCAGCGCGGGTCGAAGACGCCCGAGAGAGGGTGCGGGGAGGTCGAGAGAGGCTGCCCGGGGCCTTGGCTGACTTGTGGCGGGGCCGTCGTCGCACCGCGTGGCCGTCGTTCGCCGCCGTGGGCCAGCGCGGGTCGAAGACGCCCGAGAGAGGGTGCGGGGAGGTCGAGAGAGGCTGCCTGGGGCCTCGCGAGGCCTTGGCAACGCTGTAGTTGGGGCTGCGAGCCTTCGTCGCACCGCGGTGGCCGACGCGACCACCGCGTCGCCGTCGTTCGCCGCCGTGGGCCTGTGCGGGTCGAAGAGGGCCGAGGGAGGGTGCGGGGAGGTGGAGATAGGCTTTGAGGGGCCTCCGCGACCGCGGGGAGGGGGCTGCAGGCCGTAGTTGCACCGCGGTGGCTGACGCGACAACGGCGTGGCTGTAAAAAGTTAGCACGGCGCAATAGGGACGAAACATTTTTTATACTCACCTGAGCTGCCCTTTGACCTCCGAAAATAAACGTGCCGCCGAACGTTTGCGTTCGACGGCCTGGGGGAGCGCGAGGCGGAGGGCGGAGGCCGGTGTGACGACCGGGGCGCCGTCGTTCATCGTGGTGGGCCTGCGAGGGTCGAGGAGGGTCGAGGGAAGGCACAGGGAGGTGGAGTGCGGCATCGCGGGGCCAGGATGACCGCGAAGACGACGCTGTGCGCCGCTGTTGCACCGAGGTGGGCGGTACGACAACGACGCGGCTGCAAAAAGTTAGCACGGCGCGATACATACAGAAGTTTTTCGGACTCACCTGGACTGCCTCTAGTTCTCCGAAAACAAACGCGCCGCCGAACGTTTGCGTTCGACGGCCTGGGGGAGCGCAAGGTGGAGGGAGAAGGTGTAGCCAAGGAGACATGGCGCTGGCGCGCCATGTCTCGGAAGAAACCAGAAAAGACGGCAGAAACAAGCAAGATGATGAAAAACAAAAGCAGAGCAACGCCGAGGAGTATCTCCTCGGCGTTGTGGAAAGGTGTCGCGGCGGTGAGCCAAGCAGAACGAGCGCGAAAGCTCTAAGTCCAACCGGCGCTTGTTGGGCGGCAGCTTTCCCACGCCCCGCCGGCCGTTATGCTTAGTCGCGGAGCCGTTACACTTAGTACGGGGGCGGCCGTTATGCTTAATGGCGGGGCCGTTATGCTTATCAGCGGGCCAGCGTCGGGGCCTGGTGGTGGTGGTGGTGCATTACCGGCATGATTAGGTTAGGAACTGCCACTGTAGTAATAGACCAGTAATAATATACTACGCAATCAAGATGTCTATTGCTACAGCGACACATCAGTAATCAATGCCGCTCCGAAAGTCTTGAGACCGCGAGGAGGGAGGTCGGTGCGGTCGTGGGACCGCGACGGCCGGCGTGATGACCGCAGCGCCGTTGTTCGCTGCGGAGGGCCTCCACAGGTCGAGGAGGGTCAGGGGATGGTGCTGGGAGGCGACGCAGGCCAGCGTCGGGGCCTGGAGAGCGCGAGAAGGGAGGTCAGCGCGGTCGTTCCTCCGCGATGGCCGACGCGACCACTGTGGTGCCGTCGTTCACCGTGGTCTGTCTGAGCACGTCGAAGAGGGCCGAAGCAGGCTGCGGGGAAGTGGGGTGGGGTGTGGCGAGGCTTCGAGGAGCTGAGGCGACCGCGAGGAGGGGGCTGCACGTCGTTGTGGCACCGCGGTGGCCGGCGCGACAACGATGAGACTGCAAAATGTTAGCACAGTGGGATAGGGACAAAAAAGCATTGTTTACTTACCTGGCATGCCCTTCGACCTTCGAAAATAAACATGCCGCCCAACGTTTGCATTCCACAGCCTGGAGGAGCGCAAGGCACAGGGTGGAGGCCGGTGTGGCGACAGAGTTGCCGTCGTTCATCGTGGCGGGCCTGCGCGCGAAGCAGAGGGTCGACGGAGGGTGCAGGGAGGTGGAGTGGGGTGTGGTGAGGCTTCGCAGGGCCTCCGCGACCGCAAGGAGGGGGGCTGCACGCCGCTGTTGCACCGCAGTGGCTGGCGCGACAACGAGGTGGCTGCAAAGTGTTAGCACGGCTGAAAAACAAAGAAAAGGTGTTTCATTTACTCACCTCGGCCCTCTACAACCCTCCAGGGTGAACGCGCGGTCGAACGTTCGTGTTCGATGGTGCAGGGGACCGCGAGGGGTAGAGGTCGTGTCGCTCGAGAAACGCGACACTGACACAGCTGCGTTGGACGAGAAATGAGACAGGCAGGCAGAAACAAGCTGCCTACGACCCGTTCTACGGTTCGCAAGCAGTTTCGAGCCCCCTCGATGGGCGAATGGAAGAGCATTGAGTGTGGGTCAGCTTACCTCGTTCCCGCTGGTGCGCGCCCTCCCACTTCCTTCCCCTGTATCTTCACAACGACCTCGTCATTCTTCCCGAGCGGGGTCTCGTCTTGTAGCCACGACCTTCGTCTACCTGGACGCTACCGCGTTCGAGGGATTTGAGTGTGCGCAACATCGGAAACGAAGGGAGAGAACTCACCAAGGGCGCGCCGGCACGCACCCCGCCACTTCGCCCGGCTGTATCGTCGACCAAACTCTTGAACCCCTCCCCAAATCGGTAGTATCTTGAAGCCAGAGGGCCAGGCTATCGGACGATATACAATATGAGGCCAGGGGTAGAGGGTGAGGACGAGAAAAAATCGAGGAGTCGAAGACGCGCGAGGTGGGAAAGTCGGCTGATTGCCGCCGGTGGCCACGGCGACTCAGATCTCCGTCGAACTGTATCTTCGGGTAGTGGGTAGATTCGATGTCGGGCGATCTTTTGAGATAGCCGAGGGACCGAAACGAGGGAGGAAGGAAGGGATACAGGGGCGGAAAGTCGGGCGGCCTAACGTAGCGTTAGGCCTGCGGCCTATAGATAGTATGTCGCTTAGAAGTATTTGTACGTCGCTCGTAAATATGGGTATGTCGCTTAGAAACGTTCGTTTGCCGCTTAAAAGTATTCGTATGCCGCTTAGAAATGTCCGTATGTCGCTTACGACACTCTGTATGTGGTCTACTATGCTCCGTACGTCGTTTATCGTACTCTGTATGCTGCCTGTGGTAAGCGTCGGTATGTCGCTTGGAGGTATTTTTTGTATGCCACTTAGAAATATTTGTATGCCGCTTAGAAATATTTGTATGCCATCTACGAACGTTTGTACGTGGTCTACGAATGTCGGTATGTGGTCTATAAGCGTTCGTATGCGGGCTACGACGCTCCGTATGCGGTGTATAGTACTCTGTATGCGGTGTATAGTACTCTGTAAACGTTGGTATGCGGTCTATAGCGGTCTGTCGCTTATTTTTTGTATGCCGCTTAGAAATATTTGTATGTCGCTTAGAAATATTCGTATGTGGACTACAAATGTCCGTATGTGGTCTACGAACGTTCGTATGTGGACTACGACACTCTGTATGCGGTCTATAGTGGTGTGTAGCACTCCGTATGCGGTCCATAGCATTCTGTACGCCGTCCGTAGCATTCTGTATGCGGTCTATAGTGGTCTATGGTACTCTGTATGCGGTCTACTAAATATGACGGTCGATTTTTTATAAATGCGTGATAAATGCGTGACATAATAGATCTACACGAAAAGATAACGTTCCTCACCGAACCACTAAACGAAACACTAAACCTGATTCTAATCCTCACCTAATTCTGACTGTAACCGAAGCTATAACCGAAACACTAATACCTCTAACGTGGTGTGACTCTAATCTAAACCTCTAACGGATACTTGAAATAACGTCGTCTAGTATGTCGCTTAGAAGTATTTGTACGTCGCTCGTAAATATGGGTATGTCGCTTAGAAACGTTCGTTTGCCGCTTAAAAGTATTCGTATGCCGCTTAGAAATGTCCGTATGTCGCTTACAACACTCTGTATGTGGTCTACTATGCTCCGTACGTCGTTTATCGTACTCTGTATGCTGCCTGTGGTAAGCGTCGGTATGTCGCTTGGAGGTATTTTTTGTATGCCACTTAGAAATATTTGTATGCCGCTTAGAAATATTTGTATGCCATCTACGAACGTTTGTACGTGGTCTACGAATGTCGGTATGTGGTCTATAAGCGTTCGTATGCGGGCTACGACGCTCCGTATGCGGTGTATAGTACTCTGTATGCGGTGTATAGTACTCTGTAAACGTTGGTATGCGGTCTATAGCGGTCTGTCGCTTATTTTTTGTATGCCGCTTAGAAATATTTGTATGTCGCTTAGAAATATTCGTATGTGGACTACAAATGTCCGTATGTGGTCTACGAACGTTCGTATGTGGACTACGACACTCTGTATGCGGTCTATAGTGGTGTGTAGCACTCCGTATGCGGTCCATAGCATTCTGTACGCGGTCCGTAGCATTCTGTATGCGGTCTATAGTGGTCTATGGTACTCTGTATGCGGTCTACTAAACATGACGGTCGATTTTTTATAAATGCGTGATAAATGTGTGACATAATAGATCTACACGAAAAGATAACGTTCCTCACCGAACCACTAAACGAAACACTAAACCTGATTCTAATCCTCACCTAATTCTGACTGTAACCGAAGCTATAACCGAAACACTAATACCTCTAACGTGGTGTGACTCTAATCTAAACCTCTAACGGATACTTGAAATAACGTCGTCTAGTATGTCGCTTAGAAGTATTTGTACGTCGCTCGTAAATATGGGTATGTCGCTTAGAAACGTTCGTTTGCCGCTTAAAAGTATTTGTATGCCGCTTAGAAATGTCCGTATGTCGCTTACGACACTCTGTATGTGGTCTACTATGCTCCGTACGTCGTTTATCGTACTCTGTATGCTGCCTGTGGTAAGCGTCGGTATGTCGCTTGGAGGTATTTTTTGTATGCCACTTAGAAATATTTGTATGCCGCTTAGAAATATTTGTATGCCATCTACGAACGTTTGTACGTGGTCTACGAATGTCGGTATGTGGTCTATAAGCGTTCGTATGCGGGCTACGACGCTCCGTATGCGGTGTATAGTACTCTGTATGCGGTGTATAGTACTCTGTAAACGTTGGTATGCGGTCTATAGCGGTCTGTCGCTTATTTTTTGTATGCCGCTTAGAAATATTTGTATGTCGCTTAGAAATATTCGTATGTGGACTACAAATGTCCGTATGTGGTCTACGAACGTTCGTAATGTGGACTACGAACACTCTGTATGCGGTCTATAGTGGTGTGTAGCACTCCGTATGCGGTCCATAGCATTCTGTAACGCCGTCCGTAGCATTCTGTATGCGGTCTATAAGTGGTCTATGGTACTCTGTATGCGGTCTACTAAATATGACGGTCGATTTCGTTTGCCGCTTAAAAGTATTTGTATGCCGCTTAGAAATGTCCGTATGTCGCTTACGACACTCTGTATGTGGTCTACTATGCTCCGTACGTCGTTTATCGTACTCTGTATGCTGCCTGTAGTAAGCGTCGGTATGTCGCTTGGAGGTATTTTTTGTATGCCACTTAGAAATATTTGTATGCCGCTTAGAAATATTTGTATGCCATCTACGAACGTTTGTACGTGGTCTACGAATGTCGGTATGTGGTCTATAAGCGTTCGTATGCGGGCTACGACGCTCCGTATGCGGTGTATAGTACTCTGTATGCGGTGTATAGTACTCTGTAAACGTTGGTATGCGGTCTATAGCGGTCTGTCGCTTATTTTTTGTATGCCGCTTAGAAATATTTGTATGTCGCTTAGAAATATTCGTATGTGGACTACAAATGTCCGTATGTGGTCTACGAACGTTCGTATGTGGACTACGACACTCTGTATGCGGTCTATAGTGGTGTGTAGCACTCCGTATGCGGTCCATAGCATTCTGTACGCGGTCCGTAGCATTCTGTATGCGGTCTATAGTGGTCTATGGTACTCTGTATGCGGTCTACTAAACATGACGGTCGATTTTTTATAAATGCGTGATAAATGTGTGACATAATAGATCTACACGAAAAGATAACGTTCCTCACCGAACCACTAAACGAAACACTAAACCTGATTCTAATCCTCACCTAATTCTGACTGTAACCGAAGCTATAACCGAAACACTAATACCTCTAACGTGGTGTGACTCTAATCTAAACCTCTAACGGATACTTGAAATAACGTCGTCTAGTATGTCGCTTAGAAGTATTTGTACGTCGCTCGTAAATATGGGTATGTCGCTTAGAAACGTTCGTTTGCCGCTTAAAAGTATTTGTATGCCGCTTAGAAATGTCCGTATGTCGCTTACGACACTCTGTATGTGGTCTACTATGCTCCGTACGTCGTTTATCGTACTCTGTATGCTGCCTGTGGTAAGCGTCGGTATGTCGCTTGGAGGTATTTTTTGTATGCCACTTAGAAATATTTGTATGCCGCTTAGAAATATTTGTATGCCATCTACGAACGTTTGTACGTGGTCTACGAATGTCGGTATGTGGTCTATAAGCGTTCGTATGCGGGCTACGACGCTCCGTATGCGGTGTATAGTACTCTGTATGCGGTGTATAGTACTCTGTAAACGTTGGTATGCGGTCTATAGCGGTCTGTCGCTTATTTTTTGTATGCCGCTTAGAAATATTTGTATGTCGCTTAGAAATATTCGTATGTGGACTACAAATGTCCGTATGTGGTCTACGAACGTTCGTATGTGGACTACGACACTCTGTATGCGGTCTATAGTGGTGTGTAGCACTCCGTATGCGGTCCATAGCATTCTGTACGCCGTCCGTAGCATTCTGTATGCGGTCTATAGTGGTCTATGGTACTCTGTATGCGGTCTACTAAATATGACGGTCGATTTTTTATAAATGCGTGATAAATGCGTGACATAATAGATCTACACGAAAAGATAACGTTCCTCACCGAACCACTAAACGAAACACTA